CCGCATAAAGGGACAGTCTAGCAACCCGCGTGCGGCGCTCGGGCCGCAGGTTACTGGCGCCTGGTGTATACACAATTGTCGCCGTGTGTGGTTATTGCTATCGTATCTTCTTTCTGCTCTTCACCACACTAGGAACATGCGAAGAGAGAAATGTGGCGACTCGGAAATATTGCATTCTTATTTTGCGTTCAATAAGCATGCAGCAATTGTAGGCTCAGCAGTTCAGATTACTATTTCAATACACCCCCCTTAGGGTTTGGCACTTTCCCTAATGTTGTATCATTGCCTTTTTTCTATGGCGTTTTTTTTTAATGCGAAGCATTTCTTAGCGAACTTCAGCGGGTTTGAGCGTATCTATCTATCTATCTATCTATCTATCTATCTATCTATCTATCTATCTATCGATCTATCTATTCCCTCTATACGTGGGATCTGCCAATTTTTTATATTTACATGTATAGAAAGTTACTGTGCGTGCCTCACTTCGGAACCTTCTAAGTTTTTGTTCAGTTTTCTTTAATAAACGTGCCCTTGAAACATAATAATATTATCCGGGGTTTTACGCCCCAATTCCAAGATATGACTCAGAGATGCCGTTGGGGAGGGCTCCGGAAATCGGACCCTCTATAACATTCTTTAATGTGCGCTGACATCGCATAGCATACGGGCCACAGAAATGAAACCGCCCTTGCCGGGATCGAACACGCGACCTTTCGGGTCAGTCGCGGCGCACAGTAGGCACTGATCAACCATGTATGACTGTACTTAGAACAAAGATACAGTATTCGCTATTGGGTGTGGGCGCGCGCTAGAGACCAAGTGAGAAAGGGGGAGTGGTTTGGGGGGGGGGGGGGGATGACTGCCCCTCTGAATAATCTTCAAGTCAATCTCATATACTTACACAATCGGACCTCTCCCGTCATTATCTAATGTTCAGAAATATGGCCATGTAAATTTCAGACAACACTTTATCCGAGTATCCCTCTTTTTGATTTCCAAAAAGGAATTACATCTCCCTTACACTCCTCCTTCTCCATGAAAGACGGAGATTGAAATAAAAGGCAGGCTTCATTTCAATTTTTGTAACCTTTTAAAGACCTTGTTATCTTTCGCACTCCCATAAAAAGCGGGAGATGGAGGAAGCGTTGCGCTGAAACCATGCAAGCTTTTTTTTTTCTTTTTCTGCGCTCAATTGAAAAGCCTGTTTCAATCGACTGCCTGGCTAGTACAACATAATATTATTAGCAACAATACCAAGCCCTCCCAGCACAACCAGAACAAACGAGTGAGTCATTTCCCACAAAGAAGTGAGAAGAAAAGCAAGATCGACACACTGAAAGAGGGAAGCGGAGAGGTCAGCTCAAGAAACACCAGGTCAGTGACTCAACAAACTGAATGCATTATGGAAACACACTAAGTTAGCAATGCGTGGGCGATAATGTTGTGCCTTTGTGAAACACCTGTTAAAATTGATTTTTACAAGGATTCTCCTCTAACCACGAGTGCGCGCTTCCAATCCGCCCGTCTTTCCCGACAGCATTGTGCACAGAAATTCCCAGAAGCAAGAACAAGCTCAGTTTTTTTTTTTTTTTTTTTGCACTGCCAGAGTAACAACGCACTAGTGATTTTTTTTTCGGTTGTGCGCACCATATATACAATGTGAGACTTATGATTGGTCGTGCTAACAATGCCGTAAAAAACACCACTCTAGAATTGATGTACTATTTCATCACCTCACTATAAACTCTTGTTCTCGATAGCCTAGGCATTACGGCCTGTGCGTCCTAGGCATGATGTGCAACGTGTACCTGAGGTTCATTTTGTTGCTAGGCGCTTCTTCTCTATCTCACTTGCGAGTACTAGTTGCTGTGTCGACACTCCTTTTCTAACGTGTATTTGTAGAAATTAGTGGATCGCGTCTGGAAGCGATATTCTAAGAAGTGTTACCGGTGCGATAAAAAATGTGGCCCTTATCATTACAATTCGCAAAATTTTTTTGGGCTGTCAGCACTTGCGTTTAGAACAATTGTTCGATGACTTAGAATACAATGTACTCTGCTCTGGGAGTGAAAGCATGTTTAAGTTTTTAATGATTTAGAGTACAATGTGCTCTACTATGGGAGAGCATAAAGCCATTAATGGCATTCTCCTGAATGTGTGATCACGATATGACACAGCTGTGAAAGTGTGATGAAACACTACAATAAAGTGTGCGCTTTTACCACGCCATCATTTAGGCTTAAGCGTGGTATGAAAAAATCAATACATGCGGTCGAAACATCACATAATGTGACAAATTCAGGTTTGAATACGCACACAGCCGAGGACCTTTAACTAAGTGAAGCCACGTCCATCTGCCCGTTCGTCTGTTCGTTCATCCGAGCACATGTCTGTCCTTCCATTCATGCGTACGCCTGTCCGTCCGTGTATCCGTCCGTCCATTCGTTCGTCCTTTATTCAAGTCGACGCATTCAACGTACACGTTATGGACCTTAGAACATAGCTTCTCTCCATCATGAGCATCACTTGGTGGCTCGGCTGCCAATTTTTGGACCGGTAGCCTCACTTCATTTATCGGTGGACACCATGCTACAAGAAAAGGAACATCTGTGCGAGGGACATTTGCTCCTGCACACACAAGAAAAAAGCTCTGCCCTAATTGCTCAGCCCCCACGTGCCCCAATTACTCCGCGCGTATCGGACCTTCCCGGTGCCTTAACTCATCGAGAAGAGGTTGCGCTCAAGAGGATTGGTGTGACCCCTGCCATCCGGGTTATATGGACATCCGGTGCAATGCCTCCCCCAATAATACGCCCCTTCTGCGTTGCCCTGGCCACAGAGGCAACAATCGACCACCTTCTCGAGACCTATCCGAGCCTTCACAAGGCTCTCACCCGGCACCTATAGCTGCACGGCCTTGACTACCACCCTAGTCGACGACCTGACTTGACGCGCTGGACGTAAGGTCCAGTGCATCGACCACCCTTCGCCTTTTCAAAGGAAACTGAGCTAGCTTTCTTTATTTACCTTATGCCACAGGACAGCCTAGTCCCAGCAAAAAAAAAAAACTAACATTGGTCCTTTCCTACTGCAAATAAAGTTGTAAAATGCCCACTACTTCATAACTCGTCCTTTTGAAAATCCGCGAAGCACCCATTACGCATTCAGAATGCAAAACGTGAACTGACGCAGCTGCTCAGTTCATTGATGTTTTTGTGGCTGATGATGATAATCAAATAGGTTTCAGTGCTTTGTAATGATGGGACCTTTGCATTTTTCACTCGTGCAATTAGCATGTCCTGACTGCAAGCCCAAGTCTACATTCCCGCTGTACAACAATACATGCTTCAGGGAGACTCCTCACGTTGCATGACACTCATTTGTGAAGCAGTACCAAGAAATGACGTGGCTCTGAAGTAGAACACTTCTTTGCCACGCAGAAATCCTGAGTTCAATTCCCCCTTGAACTGATGTTTTTTAATATTTATTTATTTACAAGTTTATCGAAGTTTCGCTCAAGGACAACGCTTATTTTTCGTTCACAAATAAGAGAAGCGAGGCCGATATTGGTATTTCCGCGAAAAGAGCGCTTCGACGCTATACTGTTAACATGCCACGCTTTGGTGCACTAGTTAACCTAATCAGTCTTAAATGCACGTTTTGAAGCGCCTAAAACGTTATCGCGTTTTCAAGCACCACTGGTTCTTTCACGCATTATTCGAAAACTTCTCGCCAGAAACCCATGAAGAGGCCGGAGCGTAAGGAACTAGGCGTCAGAAGCGCAGTAAGGTTGACGGGGTATACCAAGGTGCCTCATTTACGATAAAACGACGAGACACAGAAAAAAAAATTAGTAAAACAAGCGATGCAAGGGTTCAATGAGCTGACAGAATCTGTGCGAGACGAGGAAGTAAAAAAACAAGAAAGAAAAAAAGATGCCCACATTAGATGGGCCAAATTTTGCTGCGCTCCACTGCTCTGAATAGATGAAAAATGCAAGGAAGGCACTTTCCAGGAAGTGTGGAAGCACGTTCGAGTTCATTCCGTGGCTTTTTCTTTGATATGGCTTGCTTGCAAATTATGTGATAAATGAGTATGAGTAAGAGAATGTCATATAACCGGCAATGTACACTTGGAAGCAGCAGAGAGAAGGGCTACCGCACGACGAATTCAATTAGCGAAAACACTCTCAACGAACGATCTCATTTTCTTTTCTGGTTAGCCCGCCTTTTTCTAAGAAAACGTGTCGAATTCATCGGGGCAAAATACGTGGCACAGTTTGGAAAGCGATACTCAGAAAAAAATCAAATCTAGAAAAAAAACAAATGCTATCAAAACAGAAAATATAAACATTTAAAAACGGGAAGACATAACTTGGGTTCGAATGGATGCCAATACATGAGAAAAGAAGGGAATAGAAATAGTCACACGGTGTTCATTGAACCAATGAACTGTCGTGATTTAGTAATACAACACTTCAGAAAACAATCTGTGTAAAACTTAGTATTTTATTTTAACAACTAGCTACCTAAGTCTGAATGCGCTCAAAAATGAATATCTTTGGCAATGCGATTATAAGACGTATTACTGTATTACTATCCCCAGCCGTGGCGGCAGTTTTCTCATTTTGCCACACACTCTCCCATTGCTGGTGTACACTACTGCGTACACAGAGAAGGATATTAGATAACAGGAGGAAAAATATCACAGCTCGGCTGCAAGTGGCTAGGAGGTTAGAAAATGTGTTGGTCCACGAGTCGGTGCGTATGCAGATGGATGGATGGATGGAAAACTTTATTGGGGTCCTGAAGGATTCCAGCCCCGTTTTATAGGAATACGATCGCTGGCCACTCCCTCGTAGGGACGGAGAGGCCTAGTAACCACAATTATTATGCAATGCTAGCATATCTTGGCTTGCAGGGTCTCCGCACATGCGCTAGTTTGCCTTCAGATTTTGTCAGAATATATGAAAAGGGGTCTCAAATATCATTTAACCTCACCTAAGCCAGCGGGCCGAAGACACGCAATTCTGTCCTGCAAGGACAGTGACAGGAAGAATAGTGGGAACACATTGCTATTTGAAAAAACGCCTTTCGAACATTCCACATATGCGTCATTTCTGAAGGCGATTTCCACAAGGGACGAAAATGTCGCCTAAATGTCCATGACGATGATGGTTTTCTATTAATGCACGCGGTCAACCTCCACCTTAGCACCACTGTTGTAAGGAAGAAAAACGAGAGAGAGGAAGGTATGCGTGTTAAAGGGGTAGTGACAGGTAAGTCTTGGTCACGCGTTTTTCAGCGACAATGTGCTGCTAACAGCCTGTTAGCCGCAGCACGGCACATTTGCATGCTGCAGCGCGCGACAGGTAATTATTTATAGGCACTTCATTACAGAGCCGTTTCACTTTGAGAGAGCTCCAAAAAACGACCAGCTTCCGTGTGCAACTATCACCACTTGGCATGTGAAACTATCACTACCTGGCATGTGCAACGCTCAACCATGTTAGCACGCAGAACTGTGACGCACTTCTGCAAGGTCCAACTGAACAAGTCTTTTCGAACAGATAACTGGAAAACAGCGTCGCCAAACACAATGCTTCCAACGACTGCGTCGCCGCGGCCATGGACTTGCGAGCAGCTGCCGAAAAGCAGCCTGCTGGAAGCTAACGCGGCAAAAGAAAAATGGTGGTCATGAAGTCATGATAACTTGTATTGAAAGCCGCGTGGTTACGTGAGGGAAGTAGGGGGGTCCCCATGGGGTCACCTTTGAATGCGTCAATACCGCGAAGCTCGATCGCACACGCCAACTTCAAAATTCAATTAAAATGCCTTTCAAGCTACATTCGCAGTTGGTATACTTTGCAGATGATATGCGATTGTTCACGGGAATCGATCCAACAGGCTATTTCGCCCACAAAATTTTGTATCAGTAGCCCATTAACCAGTTTGGCCCAACCACCGTACGCTACCCCGCAAAAGGGTAACAGATGTGGAGACTGAAAGAAGAGTGAAGAAAAATGGAAACGGAGGGGGAGTGCATCGAACACATGACGTCACAGCGCCTAGTGGCAGTAAAAGAGCTCTGCCGTAAAAATGCTGAAGCTGGCAGTGTTGGGCAATCGCATTCAGAAATTGCGGAGATACCACAAATCAGAAAAGTGTCCGCCAACAATAATCGTAAGTACTGGGGAAACAAAATGGCCACATCACTTATGTTCTATAATTCGCAAGTTAGTTCATAACCACTCTATTGCGTCAAAATGCCGTTGATAATTTGAGTCCTAATGTCAACATTCTCAACATCCCCAATACTGGATGTTACTGCGCAGGACTGTTCAACTGTTTCTATGGTATCGCATGCGTCGCATATGGAGGTATATCCGTCATGCTGATGCAAAACGCGTACGCTTTTATGAGTGCAACTGATCATCTAAAAGGCGTGTAACAGCATCACATTGGAGCGGGAAATTCGCAATGGTAATTGGCGTGGGATAAAGTTTAGTTTCTGACATCTTTGGAAGGCATAATGCAGCGGAAAAATGCGTGTAGGCCTCCGAATAAACACACAAGGTTGTTTTCCCTTATCAGTTCTTAGGATGATTTTGATCCAAATGGACTCCAGGTGATTTTGTGTAGCCAAGGTTCTGGGACCACAAATATGCGCTTCGAAGGCGCAGAAGGTAATGAAAGCGTTACTGGTGTATCTGAAGTCGACAGGTCTGTAGCAACATGTACGCTTGAAATGCTCTCCCGGTATACGCGTGTAATTTTTTTTCACTCATTTATTTCTTCGCCAGGTGCAGCGTAGCAAACCAGACGTACGTTCGGTTAACCTCACTGCCTTTTCTTGGTTCTCTTTTCTCGCAATATCCTCAAGCATCTCAGTTCAAGAGCTTCTGTGGCAGAATCGCACTGGCCACAAGCGGTTGCATTTCCTGTTCGTTTCTTACTTCTTTAAATTGGGGCAAGTTTGCAATGCTTACACTAAATTCACCCAATATTCGCTAACAGGGTGATGATTCAATGTTCGATAGGAGCCGACTGTTAGTCGACGAAAACCCTTGTAGGCCTTCTATGAGCTTATTTTAAAGACATGCGGATAGATTGGGCTAAAGTCAGATAAGTTGAAACTACAACTGCACAACCACTGACTTTCCTGTACGGTTTTTGAAATTTCAAGGTCTCAGGATCACACCAAAGATAACATTTGTGGTTGTTATTAGGTCTCACCACTTCCCGCATATCGCCCACCGGATCACCCTCGGCGAATTTGCGTCAGAAAAACGGTACGAGTTAGATCTAATATTGTAACATCTCTAAGAACACCAAACGCAATTATACAGGCTATGAAAAACGCAAAATTACGTTAGAAACTTCGTAGGAGGAGGGGGGGCTGATAAGTACATAAACTTAGAAGCGAAAATATAAAGAATGACTTTTGGTTTGATGCAATTTCAGGCCAATGCAGAAGAAACATTGACTTTGTTTGTTTGTTTTTCTTGGTGCGTTGCTCAAGGTGTCGCTTCTGCTGAGCGCTTTCAAAGCTTAAAGCAACCGGGAGCAGACGTTCTGCTTCACGAAGTCATTTTTCGTGGGCAATGGAAGTGGCGATTACATGACCTCGTAAACAGCTAATTCCCGATTCCTATCACTCATTGCAGGCATACAGAATGCATGTGTATGTGGTTGTTCAATACCGTTCGCGCTCCCTCAGAACGCATAAACGCCTACAGCGGTGCACAGAGGAGGCAGTAGCATGCCTTGAATGCATCATCAGGGTTTATACCGAGAGCGCCTGCCGATTATCCTTGTCTTCCGCACACCTTTGTCTAGCAATCAAGCAACGCGGCTTGCCTGCGCTAGGTCGTATTATGCGGCAAGTCTCCTCTGGACAGCCACTGCATTTCCGGTTGAGAAGAATCGAACAATCTGGCGGGGACGACGCGCGTCAAATGAGGTCCACCGTCACATTGTCTCTGGCGACGGTGAAAGCCCGCAAACGACTCCCCTTGCCTGTGTTGCGAACGACGGACCGATCCCGCCGAAGCCACCACTGTTGCGAAAGACGGCGACGCCAACACGGCCCCGGAGGCGCCACTGCTTTCAACTCCGCCGGGAAGGTCACCAGCCGTTTGGTAGCGTATGTTTATCAGCTCGCGACTGCTTCTGCGCAGAGCTGATAAGACGAGCGGACGAGACGACGGTGAGTTAAACAAGGTTTATGTACAGCATATTTACAGAGGCGTTACAATTTCGGCACTGGGGCCGACAGAGACTCGAAGAGCCGAGCTCTCCTCTCTAACACATAGGTCAGCCTTTCGCCTAAGACCGCTGACTCACACACATGTCGGCACTCCGACACGGGGACTCCTCTCCTAGGACCTCCGATCGCGACGCGCCGCAGGGCTTCTTTTATTTACACCGGGTCCAACCAAAATGTCCAATCAGAAGCGCCGGTGGTCGTCAGGGCAGATTCCGCCAATGGGGGTCGCCGCGCCATGCGTCAGACCACCAGACACGCGGACGCCGGCTCGCTGTCACGCGCGCAGCTGACTCAACGCACGTGGGCCAGGGAGGCGCCGCGCGTGTTCACTCCGTCGAGTTGATCGCGCCAGGCGACCTGCGGGCTGGCCTTGACCCAGATTGCCTTTTTCCGAGGCACGGACGTTTGACGAGGACTCGCTGGCATAACAACGTTTGACGAGGACTCGCTGGCATAACAGCACCCCCGCCGCCAGACAATGCACCGGAAAGACGAGCTGCTTCCACGGGGCTCGGATGTCAGGTGCGCTCGTTCGCCAGGTCCCTCCAGGTTCGCCTCCAGGGCCATGTGGAGAATACAGCTCCAAACCGTTCCGGGAACACATCCCATTTTTGACGACGGATCCCAGCTCCACTGGCTTGTCGCCACAACTTGCTGACCAGCTTCACTCGTCTCTTCTGACCATCTTCGGTTTCAGCACTTGTCGATGGTTCTGCAACTTGCCAAGAACGGATCGACAACAGACAACACACGACACACGCAAGTGCCCTCGGTCACCCGACAGAACACCAGACAAAGTATAGTACAACATATACCTATCTACGTGTTTATCGGAATTTTGTTCCCTCTACATCAAGAGGCACATGTGGGACAAAAGACCCTTAAAATGACAACTCAATTTTTTTCCCACGTACAACAACGTAACGGATTAGAATACCACATAAAGTTGGCCCCTTGAGATCACTCTGAACGAGAGCGCTCAGCCCAGGTCGTGATGAGGTCAAAATTTTGCCCCGAATCGCCAGCGAGAAACCGAAAGGTTGAGAAGATACTAGCTAGAACGCACTGCTCAATGCACCTACCTGCATTAGCGTTTAGCTTTCCCCTTTATATATATATATATATAGCGAACGTCAAAGTTGCGCTGTGGAGCAACATGCTCCACCTCAGTAACCGGCCACTTTTAGGCGACGATACCTATGCGGCACCAAGAGCGGCTCACACCTTCGACGTTGCACAGGGGAACAACGATACGGCTTGCTACGGATTGACTCCTCACCGCTTAGCTCGATATCGTGTTCGATCACCGTCGTGTCTCCGGGACGGTCCGACAACACATACCCAAACTCGGAAACAATCTTTCTCAGGTCCTCTTTCTCAGGTCCTCCTTCACTTAAGCTAGGCTCTAAGTTTATCTGCTCCCGGATTACTTTCGATCCCCCTTCGATCACCTCACTAGAACTCAAATTTTCTGCTTCCTCTTCCTCTGAAGCCTTCAACAGCTGATTTACGACCGCTTGATGTTGAACATTGGGTTTCATCAAGTTGTAAATTTTGTTCTGCCGCCTTCCTACTTGCACCTCATGATTTGTATCGCAAGCCTTCGATAATACTTTGGCGGGCACTTCCCAATCAACCTCAAGCTTGTTCCTTTTGGATGGCTGCAGCAGCATTACCTGACTCCCTACTTCAAAAGCACGCTTCTTCACCGATTCCTCGTAGTGCTCCTTCGACAGCATTTTTGCCGCGTTTTTCTGGCTTTCCAC